TCATGCCTTCTCGTCGAGAACACCCACAATTAATGCCTGAAACAGCTTCGCTTCTTCGGACTGGTTCGGTAGAATCTGATCATAGACAATGGGGATGGGTAGTAAGAAATCGAGAGATAAACTCAATTAAACTTTCATTCGAGTGTTGTCGCATGATGTTGAATTTGTAGCGTGCTGTGAACACATGTGGACTTCCCCACAAAATACTGGTTCGTGGAGTAGAACACAGATCGTAGGTCTCTTTTGCGTGTAGTTGCAAACTGTCGAAATGTTACTAGCCCTCATTACCAAGGGCTGCATCGTCTAGCGTGTTGTTGCCGCCAAGAAGCAAAAGTAGCTTAATGTAATTAATGAAAGTAGTTTTTCACTGTGTCCATTGCTAAGGTCTTTCAGTAGGGGAATTCTAAAACGCTAGAGTTGCCGTAATCGAATTTGCCATGACTCATCCGATAAGCTTCGTAGCCAATAGGTTACACCCAAGCGAAATCAGAACACCAGTACTGGAAGTAGGAAAAGTTTAGTAGCAAGCGTGAAACGGTACACTGTAGTCAGCACATGAGCACATAAAAACCATCTGCCACGAGAGCCACATGAGCGCGAGAATGAGTTCTATACCATTTTACACACATGTTAGTGCATTGTACCAAGCTTTTAGCGTGGCACATTTTCGAAATCGCGCGCAGTACTTTCAAGTTAGTGAGGCTGAGAACGCTGTTTTGGCGTCGTTGACACGCATTGGTCATGGGACGTAAACCATTGGGACACCGGTTAGAAGCCGCCAGCATAAGCGACAAACAGTCCAATGAAAGTGATCGAGCACCACCTTCTGTTCTATTTTGATGCCTATCTGAAGGAAACCTCGATGATTGGTCTCCAAACTGAAACTGTCCAATGGGCAAATTGTGTGGCCTGTCTAAGGAGGAAATCCTGGCTACCACATGATCTGAAGGTTATGCCGTAATCAGTTCGGACAGACATACTAACCAGCACATGAAGCGGTCTATAGTGATCGCTAGCGGCTACCTAATGGTGGCTTATTCAGCGGCCTAACCATGGTGGCGTAGACAGGCAACCATCTAACTGGTATTCCACAGTACAGCAATGGCTGCTAGGCGATTAGACAGTTGTGTGCGAATGTCATTGCAACTATCATGGGGGACATTGTTCCCATTGAAGTTGGTAGAAAAACCTGAACAACGAAAGTTGTATGTTTGCTTACTTCTATCACAGTTGATGACTGAACAAAAAATGAGAGGATTCCGAGTGTGGCGTTAACACGACGTTAGTGAGTGTTCGTTTGTGCCCAAACCCATGGGCGACTTTGTTAATCGGTTATCGCTTCAGTGTCTGCATGTATAGCGTTATATAAAGGTCATAGGAACCTATGTATTCATAGGATAATTAGGCTTCACTTCCATATGATCGCCCATGCGTGTTGAGACGCTTCGACAAGTGGCTCTCCAAATAGAACCATTAGAAGCACAGTCAATGCAGATGGAACCTCCCTATTACGCCCATGGACTGGCATGCTATCCTCATGAAATCGGCATTACTCAACAAAGAAGCACCTAAAGGGGCTACAATGACTACGGTGTTTATACATGCCACATCGTCCTGCTAGAAAGAACGCAAGACTTGTAATTAGTGGCGACGCAGGCAACGATAATCGACTCCTCCCAAGTACATGGAACCTATACTTCACACTAACCCTTATTGTTAATGGCCTGACAACAATCCAGACACCTTGCTTGAACAGACCCGGAGGAACAGGCGATTATTTTCATGTAGCGTCATTAGAGTGATTGTGATGAAGGAAGTAACGGACAACAAGATAGTGTTCACATGACAAGTTGATCGACCCAAACATCGATTTCTCCACCAAGAACAACTACGTCTGATTTTTCAACTCTGCTCAAAAGTATTTTAAGTTCGACATAAAACCAGCCCTTTAACTGCGCGTAGCCGCAGTCGATTGCGGCGTAAATGCAGACCAGAAACAAGCTGAGCTCTCCATAATGTCTGTTCATCCTTCATGAGCCTTGGAGCCGGATTGCACATAGTCAGTATCAAGCTGGGAACAAGGCAGCCGTGAGGCTTCATCTTTGTCACTGAAAGCGAGGCGAACGGCAGCCAACCTGCCTGCAGCTGCTTTTTTATCAGTGTTGGGGTCTGGTAATCTGGTCGCGGAAAGCGAGCAAAGAGCAGTGGCGAGCAATGCCAGAGTACACGCTGGGCAACCTTGTCGCCTAAGAGTTGGTAGATGAAAAGCTATTAGTGAAAATGGAGAGAGGAGTCGAAAGGATGACACCAGCCGGACTCTTTGGGTTTTGGCGAAACTGGTATCGAAAGAACACGTGAAAGAACAAGAATAAGTAGCGAAAGGAATTTCGATTTGTGTTTGAAGTGCGTGAGCATTGTGGTACCCAAGGTATCACTAGCCGTAGAACCCACGGTTTTGTCAAGTGGTGTGGTAATAACCGGCTGCATACGCTGAAGTAAGCAGCTGTCACAAAGGGCAACAGTCCGAACACCCTGCTCAACATCCCATTCGCAAGGCAGCAGGGAGCTGGCGACTTTTCTCCCTATATATGCCTTTTTTGGATGGGCTATGAAAGAGTCTCAATCATCCTCAGGTAGCCAGAATACAATGCTCCAATGGCGTGAGCCAATGGGTAGCCATCTTAGCTAACGGTGAGTCAGAGTCGCATAGAAATGTTTTTAAACACATTTATGGGCTTTATGTGAAAAACTACAACTCCCTGGAACACCTTGACTGAACCGTTTACGATGAAGGCCCCGAGCCAAACGTCGCTTCCCTCTCCGAAACTTACCGTCTTTTTCCCGATTAGCCAGGGTCTTCAACAAGTGCAGCATAAAGTACATTATTCCGTGGTACCAATGCGGCAAGTTGAACTATTGCCATCAAACCAGTCGGATCTACTCTTTAGTCACGACGGTCATATGTTCCTCGAAGTGGTGCCATAGTTCGCTGGCGGGATCAATTGAATTTATACGACGAAAACAGGTTAGTATGCCTATCGGCTGCTTCCGGTTACGTCTGTCCACGCTGCGACATCACGCCCAACGCGCGCGTTGAAAGCACCCATTAGGAATAGCCGATCGCCCTCGGCCAGGACGGAATCACGGAGGACAAATGAGAGTAAAACTATCTTTGCATCACCAGAATAAAACGTGGCAGGGTCATGCGTGCTAACCGAAGTTGCAAAAATTACCTCATCCGGACCGTTGACGAAGTGTCGTCAACCTTAGACTGATACCAGTCGTCTATTCTACCAGGTGGCCATTTAGGACATCGAACAATGCAAAGCAAACCCCCATGTTCACGTGTTGCTGTGGTGGCGATTCCCCATCCAGTAGAACGTGTAGACGGCAAGAGCCTCATGCAGTTTGCACTGATCAGCCAGCAGAGTCTCACTAAGTGCGGCAATATAAATGTCGCAGCAACTGAGTTCCACGGCATCTACAATAGCGCGTCAATTGGGGCGTCCATTCGTACTCCGATCCAGTAATGTGCGCGTTCCCGCGTCCGATGTTGGGCACTTTTCGCGAAGCCATACTATATATATATATATATATATATATATATATATATATATATATATATATAATTAAAATCATGGGAATCGAAGGCGGTTGATCGGCGTACATGGCGCGATCTGATCACAAAGGCAGTTGCCGAGGTGCAGGAGAAAGCCCTCATGCATGCAGAGAAGAAGCGGCAAGTGCGGAAGCGGCAAGCACCGATGGATTGTACTCCATCGACATCGAGCGCATTGCGTTGTAGAACATGCGGTCGCGAGTGCCTTAGTCGGGCAGGCTTAGTGAGCCATGAGAGAGGTCACTCGGGACCACTGCCGAAGCGACGACGGGTCCCGCAGTGAACGTAGGCAGCACCGGCGCAGCGTTTGTAGGCACGCTGCATTCGATTTACTAACCGCGCGCTTGCATGCTAAGTCTCTTTATTTCAGGTGGTGGGTTTGCAATTTTGTTCTAATGATTTTCTTTCTCATATAAATGTCTACCTTATACTCCCTGCTATAAACATGCACATGTCGCTCCCGCCAACTGTAGTCGATTTCCATAACATTTTCGTCTTCGTGGCATTTCCGTAAAGTATACTTTCTGACCTCGTGAACTTATCTAGGATTCGTTTGTAAACAACTTATTTAATATGCTCATTAACTTAAGGTTTATGTCACCGTTTCCTTATGCATTATTCGAGTTATTTTCTTTGTCTCTCTCTCTCAAGTGATTGGCTGTTGTTTGATATCCCAGGTGTGGCTGCGCTTGATGTGCATGTTGACAAGGTGCCTACCTGTCTATTACCCACTATCTCGTCCATCTAGCTCCAGGAGACAGTTGGTCGTTGCTGGAGGGGACGGGGTGCGCGTTCCTTGTGGCCGTGTTAGGATCAAAGAGTGGTTCCATGCACTCAGTGTGGAGCGGACTACGGTCCAGCCACCGCCTTGTGTGCGCTTGATTCCCAAATACAGTGTGCTTGTGTTTGCCTGTGGAGGAGTGTGGGCCGGCTCCGTTGATGAAACGTGGCTCCCATCCACATACCTCCCGGTCTTATTCCTTCGGGTTTACACTGGATATGGGGTGTGTGGTTGGAGTTGTGGGTGGTGCATCGCAAGCCATGCATAGTCCCCCTGTAGACGCAGGCGTCCTGTAGCTTGCCACGGTGGCAGGTAAGTCCGAAACCGGATGCCGCCAACCATATATATATATATATATATATACGTCAGATGAACACACCTTGTTTCCATCGAACTTTTCTTATATATATATATATATATATATATATATATATATATATATATATATATATATAAGAAAAGTTCGATGGAAAACAAGGTGTGTTCATCTGACGTAGTGCCAGATAGCCAGTGTTATGAACATAGGTGTGAGGTTGTTTCGATGGGGAATATGTAAGCTTCAGCTGGAGGAAATATCGCTAAATTAAAAACATGAAGGTATTCTTTCAAATTACATAAATGTTTAGCAAAAAATACTACAAGGGGGCCAAACGCCGGGCGGACAAATACCACTGGGAGAAAAAGAAAATTGATGTCTGTACGCTTGAAAAGTATTGGGTTTTGAGTCCTGTGCATTTGTGCAGAATGGATCGTAAGGTGAGAAGTTTGGTTTGGTTTCATCCGTGTCACGTTATCAACGGGTGCGATGCATGCTGGAAAAACGAGAATTGGGGTCAGCCAACAGTTCCATGGGATGTCCTGTTTCAACTACCATCCCTTGATCCAAGACGACGATGCTAAAGGCAAGAGAGAGCACGAGCAATGCAAGTGTAAGATTCGATTCTTTCGGCATCGTGGGGATACGTAAGCGAGTATTATTTAGGGTCATCGTTTAAAACAGATGTGAAATAGCCAGCTGGACTTCTCAATACATGAAAGCGAGTAGGCGCTAGGCAAAATCTGTTAAGCCGAGTGTAGAAACGGAACGTTCATGTATATCGGCACCTGGAGATTGCTACTCTATGGCCCAGTGGCTACCATCCGATGTCAACTAGGGCGCAGTGGGCATACCAGTTCAAGTCATTCATCAGTGTGCAAAACACATTAAAGCTTGTCTGTTTACTGGTTCGTCTAGCTTAATTAATTTGTTGCATACATTTCGTCACCACAGGAGGTGGCATCGACAGTGCCGTTATGTGCATTGGGCAATCTTGGCTATTGAATCGTCCTTCCGTAATCGACAGGCAGGTGACTTTTCAAAGTGAGACCGACTTACGTCCCGTACTCTGCTCAGCACATACTGAGGATGCCGCCACCCAGTGTGGTGGCAAAACGTATGTAACTATTTAACCAAGCTCGGCGAACCAATCCACAGATGAACGACCAACCCCGGGGTACTAGTGTTTGAAATCAATCTGAACAGTGTAAGTCTGTTATTCAGTGATAATCTGAGAGGTGAAGTGCGTTTGATCCATTCTCTACGATAAACGAAGACTCGGAAACAAGAAAAATGGCAAAAACGGCAGAAAAATGTAAGAGAAAGTTCAAGGAAAAAGGAAAAGAATGGAGTCATGATTGTTACTACAAAGAAACAGGAGCACATATATGTTGCGAATCTCGCGCGGAAGTCATGTGAGTGAAGACTCCAACCACGTTTGTGACTGCCCTCAAGAATCCCAAGCCAGTTGGTCAACTTCTGTTTTTTCATCTCGTCATCAGTTGGCCACTGTGCCTTTGTCTAACAAGGCGCGGTGTGTAAAACCAACATACATCAACATAAACGAATGATAAATGTGAGACAAATAAAGATCTGCCAAAATGGACGGTAGGAGTTCAGCAGACAAGCAGGCAAGCCGGGCGCGAGTGGTGCAGCCACGTCTCCAGATGTGAACGAGGCTATGCAGCAGACATTGATCTAATTTATTCACGTCCCTTCATCACTCAGCGTTAAGTTGATGTCCCGTCATAACGATAAAATGTTTTGGTTTTGAAAGGTCATATGGTCTTTCAAGTGTTCTTAGGGTAGTTAAATCAACAAAGATGATACAGTAACGCAGATAAATGAACCTCACGAACACGTCTAGTGGTCATTTATTGACAGTGGGAGCCGGTTTGAAGAAACGACTTACGTCGCAATGGTGTAGGTCACATGAAAAAGCGTGTGGTCACAGGTGTTATTGTGCTCACCAGTAGAAATACAGCGACTGAGTAAAGCAACCGGAAGACGGAGAATCCATCTTGGGTAAAATGACGACGGTTACGAACCAGACAAAGTAAATAATAAAACAGAGGTAATCACGATTACACAGAGCACAAAATCGATGAAACCGAGACAAGGTAGTCGTGAGAAACCCTATTGGCCACATTAAGCTAAGGGTAGAACTTCGAGTAAACTGGAAATGGAACCACGTTAGAGGAGTTAGGGATTGGAGGGTCATTTGGAAACACCCGTTACGTGAATGAATTACGGCGCGCCATCTCAATGGATACCATAATTCGCATTGAAGTGAACCTTGGTCAATTCGATTACGGGGGCGCTAAATGAAGCAGATTGATGTTGGGTGCTGCCCACACGAACACACTCCACTCCACGACTGGTCTCGAGCCTAGTTGATCCCATATGATAGAGATAGGAGGCATTCGGACAAGTAAGTCACCGAGTCGCCTCGAGCAACACTTGTCACAAAGGTGAATGACTGATTGAAAGGTTGCGTTAAAGCACGCGCTGTGTGTGAAACGCGCTAATTCAACGTGGACTAGGGGTAGACGTTTCGGTTAACATCCTAATGACCCCAGGTTCCTTGCTTGCTATATCTACATAATGAGACCAAATAGGTTGGAAACCGATCATGGAGTGTAGTGTTTGCGAGCGGACAATATCCAATTTCCATTTGTTTCATCAGTATAGAGATACGCTTCCTGTGGCATTAAGTCCAGTAAGCAGAGGAAGCACCGCAAACAAACGGGATCAACTCAATCAAAGGTACTCAATTGTAGGGGGAATGATAATTTGTTTCCAGTTATGGCAGATCTGTATTCGTCGCACATTCATCAACCGATAAGCCTTCCGCCCACACAACACATGAGACTTTGTATTCCAACCAATGCCCAAGTCTTCTCTTTGTTTTGTTGTTGCTCATGTGTCGTGGCACTCTGCCAAATAGTTGTCGGTCAAGTGTCGAATAATGTATAATATGGCAATATGCTAGTGTGTGGTCAATACGGATGGGGGCCGAGTACATTTCACTTTCAGTGAGTCACCGGATCGACGTGCCAAGACCGCTGCTGAATATTACCCGGAGAGCACCACGCCATAATCAATAGACCACAGATAAAAGACGACAGGGATATGAAGTCCGGATTGTAGGCATTGTTCTGCATCCATGGTGCCCGCTTCAGATTTGATCCTACCGATGGTGAAGGCTATGATACCAACATCCAACACGTCAAGGAGGCCAAGTAAGAAACTTAAACTCTACCAAAGTGCCTCTTTCGACAAAGCGGTGGACCAAATATCTCATTTGTGTTATCTTTCAAGCAGGGGCTATTTCCAAGCGGTCACCATACCATAACGCCTGCCTTCCACCTCCCCTGATTCTTTGGACTCTTGGTCATACGGAGGGATGCAGCTGCGCCGTTTTAACTAATGTTATCAGGGCTCCAGGAATCCATCCACAAACCGAAGAACTAAAGTCAGATGAACATGTAGCCTCGATGGACTTCATGACACATTTGATGTATCCAGTAGATGCCAGGCTCTCTAATCTGGTTTATCAGTGACATCCGAAGTTTCAATTTAGGCCGGATATTCACTAGCGAATGAGCATCATAGACCTAAAATGAATTATTTATAAGCAGTAGGGGGGTTTATTAGGTTTTGTGTAGGTTCGTCGCAGTTAGACACAAGCAAACAGCCACCACACATCTAGGAAAGCGCTAGACGGCCATTTCCTCCTATTGGGACTCGTCAGTAACCCGCACCCGCCGAATCCTGCCGAATTCGAACCCACGACCTTACTCTTGTGAGTCAGCGACTTATGTCACTGAGCCATGGGGGACGGCAGCGAACCGCCCCGACTGATATCTACCTGCGATATAGCGCGGCTCATCCTCCACTGTCTTGCATGTTATGAATGTGCAGAGGACAAGGCTGGCCCCCAGAGCAGCGACTTACTTTGCAAGCCGCCACCAATCGAGGTGACATGTAAGCTGCTAAGGCGACTATTAATTGGTTGTAAGCAGTAGGGGGTGTTTATTAGGTTTGTGTAGGTTCGTCGCAGTTAGACGAATGGATTACTCTGCTCTGAGGCCTGCAACCTAATGTTTCCGATGAGTGGGATATGGGGAGAGAAATACTGACTTCAGCTTAGGCACCAAACCGAAGGAATTGAAAATGGAGCTCAGCTCTCAACCAAATGGCACTGAAAAAGAGCAGATCAGCACATAACAGCGGGTTGTGAAGATACTTAGGTTATCAAAATGAATCGAGATTCGATTGCAGTAATGAAAGGAATTAATTAAACTTCTTGACATGTAGATAGGTAGTATGGAAAAATAAAAAAAACCTGGGGGCCGTTAGAACGGCTTTGTGGATCTGTTGCGCACACTTATTGGTCAGCCAACACTATCACTAGATAGGCCCTCTGTGAACGTTTGACAGTTCGCTCGATTAGTCCCCAAAATAAGGTTAGTAGACACGGTCTGGTAACAAAGGAACGGTTTTGTATCCAAATTTAGAGTAGTTCCACTTACACCAGTGGCACCCGACCCACCGTGAGTAATTCTGATTGGCTGCTCATTTGGATGGTTTAATCGCTCAGTGCGATCAAGGACTCTCGGTTAAATCGCGTGGTAGTCCGGCTTATTCAGCACGTTTTTCTATGACTCGGGCCTCGACGGGCATGAAATTGCGCATTACGCTTGGAACAACCAGATCAATGATATATGGTCTAGCAGCAATTCCCGATAAACTGGACTCAATCGTATAATTGAATCGAACCTAATTAGGACCATTTCTGACACCTCACAACTGTTCACGCGGATTCGAGTGAAAAGACAGCATAGGCAAGTGAGAGTCCTGAGTATAGCGATTATGCTGTTGGCAAGCGGTCGCACAAGGAGCCGAACACAACAGGCAAAACCCGTTGCAGAATAACGCGTCATGATTGCGCTGAACAAAACAAACAAAGTTGCCTGGCGCGAGTTGATGAGTTTGAACGACTCACTTCAAGTGCTGGAAAGAAATAGCCAAAGTAACCACTAATGGATGACCGCGAGTAGCCGTTCGTAGTGCGTGCGAATCGAAAAAAATGTCCAGTGAATAAACACAAATGTGCACACCACAGGCACCCTTCAAACAAGACAGCGTCTGATAAATAGTGGTCGGTGGTATGAGATAGACAAGTGCGCCACTGTCGTCTATGTCGATTAGACTGAAGAGATTAGACCATGGACGGTTGACTGCGTAGAGAAAAAGGTGCATTACTTAGTTGGTTTAAGCCTCTAGAAGGCTGTAATGACGTTGATACAACTACGGAAAAAAGCAAATATGGATGGATAACCGACGCCGTTCTAAATCGTTTCAACAAGACATATTTATCAGTCGGCCATAGCTACAAGTTACCATATCGCAATACTCCGGCAGTCCAGAAGAGAATCAAAGTAGCGGAATATGGTATCGTGACAGCACAGAGAACAAAATTAGTAGATTTGCACTAAACGGAAATACTCTCTATCTGTGAGCATGTAAACGATTACTGAAAACAACATCATATTAGTGGCGTACAAGTCGGTGTCCAATACAGTTGACAGTCGGTGGGCAATGATGATCACAGTGGCATGTCTAAACTGGTCCCCGACGACCGTCCGCATGACCAGATCAGCTGTCGCGGGATCCATAGCAGCGGTTGCCTCGTCCAACACGAGAAGGCGGACGCGCCCACGAGATGATAGGAAAACTCGAGCCAAGCAGATCAACTGACATTGTCCAGCCTGAAACAAACAGGATCGCAGGTGCAGTATGAGGGGCTGGCAAACTCACGTGGGCACCGGCTGGGAGCACGAGGGCCGTTCCTTTATACGAAGGGACAAATATGGCAAACCAGTCAAACAGAACGCGTTCACATTGGTTGAGGCCAGGACACCGAAGATGCGGGGGTCATTGCTTCCATAATTAGAATATATAGATTAATATCTGGATGGACAAATAGAACCGTCTTTTTCACATAACACACACCGCCTGCTGAGGCTTGATTTTTGATTTTCGCGGTTGGATAAGACACCATGCAGAGTAGACCGTGGACAACAGTGCTGCACGCAAAGCAGTACAACAAAAGCTGTAGAGATTTTGGTGTCATTCGCCACAAACACTGGCAGCCCAGGACCAGTTTCGTCTGTGTTTAGACTCATGAGGTGGAGATATATGGAGCTGGGAGTGAAACTCGGGACAGAATAGTTAACGACTGACGTCTTGATCACTAAACCAATGAGATGTGTAACGCTGTTTTGAAAACCTGTTTCATGGCACAGCCAAGTAGATTATGAGTAGCATTCGGATGCTTCACTTCGGTCGCTAGTGATGACCGGATAACCAGTTCGAAATGAAAGTGCTTAATCATGAATCGTAAGTCCAGTAAAGAGTAAAGAGTAAAGAGCGTCGATGGCAGACGACCCAGTATAACCGCGAAACTGAAGGTTACGCATGCGTATACTGGGGTGTGATTGGAGTCGAAAAAAGAAGTTAAAATGTTGCATATCCTCTGTAGTTGCTGGGAATACGGCCAATTTCAGCCCTGCACATTGTGGGACTAAGTGAGCGTAGTGAACGTTTGCAATAGAAAGTGGCGCTGCTATCATGGATGTAATGGTTGGAATGCATTTGAAGAAAGCGGCCGCTTGTCACTACATGGCACGCGCCGACCCCCAAACTATCTCATGAGCGTTGTTTCAAAACCGATAGGCAATATGCCCCGGTGTTTATGATTCCATTGGAATCCAAGTACGTGTTTCGCCAATTGTAAACTTAAAACAGACGGTTCTCAGCTTGACAGTAAGCAATGGAAACACACAAGGGAGTTCCCAAGGAGGCTTGTCTGCTGCAGTTTACAAGTTTATGCCTTCCACCTGTAAAATTGCTGACCAGAAACCATCCCATGATCGCCAAGGGTTTCACATCTTCCTATTCGCTGTGGTTATTCTTTTGTGGGATCGGAGACTACGTCTTATCGTATGTAAGAGGGTTGGTGCTAATGGGGCGACCAATATTCAGGTATGTTTGTGCAAGTGTCCAGAAGTGTCGACTCCCATGTTTTGCGCTTATGTATTGACGTCGTTTAGGCAATCATTTCGTAACCTTATAGACCGTTTAGGTGTTGTTTCTGTATGCGAATCAGTCCCACTCGGATGCTAACGATGTCACTTCTCTCTTATTGTTTACATCCGATTGGTAGGTACTCTATTTGTTCTGTCCTAACTCGCTTTATCTGGTCGCGCGCTTTTAGTGCTGTGGTCGATGTTTCCATATTCTATGCGTCACGCTACATACACAGCGCAACTTTCCTACGAAAAAACCTGAATCTCACTTCAACTATTTTGTGTTCACAGTATCATTAGTCGCAGGGGAGACACACCAGTTAGCTAGTTTGCTTCAAAAGAAATGCCTAGAGCATAGGAACGGAGACGGCTGAATTGGAGAACTGGAGTGCTAGAGCCCATAGTTGTCAACACAAAGCAAAATGCTATAGGTGAACTACGAACCGATAAGTTGCATCCAGCTTCACCGCAGTCAAATTCAAGGGTAAGTCCCTCCAACTGTAGCCAGTCCCTTAAATGAGCGGCGTCCAGGGCACTCCAAAGTTCATCATCTGTCCGATCTCCAAATGGATCCAGATTGAAGCGCAAAGAGCCGGAAAAGAGAACCGGTTCCTGAGAATCAAAAATAATAAGTGAAATAATAAACCTGGCTTATTTCATGATGGGGAAAAATTAAGCGCGCCTGAATAAAAAACAGTTGGAATAAGTAACTATGTTTCTACAACCGTACATATTTAAAAACAGAGCGTGTTAACTGCATTGTGAAATTAAACGCGCCATCCTCACTGACATTTGGCAACCAGAGTGAAGTGACACAAATATATTGCTCGAAAGTAAGAACGCCAGGCGTGACAGCTTCTAGTGATGTACAAGCATAAAGCGAAACGCTTCATTGGAAATGGGTGTATAGAACAGGTGGATTATATTAAGAAACTCTGGGAAAGTAGTAAAAGTAAGTGCGCTCAGGAAGAGGCTCATTGTTTTGGAAGATATAGCGCCATAGACACGAGCGAAGGTAAGGTGCTCGTTGACCAAATCCAGAACGACGAGGAAAGGTCGGAGTAGATGCAACGGACAGAACATTGAGCTCATATCTCTAAATTGTGCAGTCTGGAGGTAAATATGTTAACAGTGAATTTCACAAGCGAGACTGGAAAGAGGTAAACTCATGAAGGCAACGGTACATGGATGTCTCGAGGATGAACAAGTAATATTAACCAATAAAAATCATCAGCAGTACGCCGGAACATTGTACCGACGCTTTGCTACCACGCGACCACCACCGATCACGCGTGGGCTGAGTATACAGCGAGTAAGCCCATCCCTTTGCGGATTTGAACCGGTGACCTAAGGATTGCAAGCTAAGCGTGCAATCCCTTCGGCTACCGGCCGACGCCATATTAGCTAATACCATTTACACGCCGATGTTTCTGCTGGCGCAATGACAGCTCTGTTCGTTGCAAATTTCTTTACTGTAGAAAGTAGTGCCAATTTTAAAAAAGCATCAACAGTACGCCGACACACCGTGTCGAAGCTTCGCCGCCACGCGACCACGAACAGTCGCTAGAGGGCTGGGTATACACCGCGAGCTCGCCCGCACCCACGTGCAGTCGAACCGGTGACCTCCAGAGTACAATGTAGGTGCGTAAGAATTTCGGCCACCCTCGACAGAAATCTTCAAAAACACGATGTACCACTTTGGTGCAGTGAAAAGAAAACTGAGGTGGAGAAAAAACTCATTCGACGGGAAACGAGCACGTGGGGTGCCCATCCCACATACACGGAGCAACAGCTTCAAACAACGCAGAAGCATGAATTTATGCAGCAATAATCCAAGACAGAAACGAGTGAAGGCATTTGAATGCTTTCAACTACAACAAGTGGTTTACTGATTCGTAGTGGGTTCGTCGTTTAATGTCATGACTCGGGTAGTATGGGACGGAAGTCGGGTGAGATGACGAAAGGTGGCTTGGTAAGTTCACGTAGGAGTGTGACCAACATAGATCGGCCGGCTGGGTAATATTCTTTTAAATATACGAGGTTACTTTGCAATACGCCACGAAAGGAGATTGAAATCAAGTTCTCCATTTGCGACCTAGCACTTCCTTATTGGCGAAATAGGATATATGTCATTACTAAACCACAGGGTGGAACCTGAGATAATTTGCCGTCATCTTCACAAACCATAAAAGGCCGATTAGTCAGGAGTGCTGCTTTGATGGCAATGACAGACATCAATGTATGCTTGCTAGTAGAAAAGATAAGGTTTAAAACTGACAGCAGGAAAAATATCGCACGGCATAGGAAAGTACGTTAGTAAATATATTCTGTTGGAATTCATCTTGATCAGGACAAGCCTGGCAAACGCCTAAGCAGATAGAGAGCAATTGACAACCATTTCAACTTTCCAGAACTTCACAGCAACACACACTCCTTTTGACAGATGTGCAGTCAAACAACAACTTCTGGTTGGAGAACAGGAGCAGAAATCTCAAAGCAATGACAAACATGAGCAACTGACATGCCAAATCAAACTGCTGCTGCTGCGATACAATAGAGGTGGCAGGTAAGCAAGTAAGATATTTCAGTGCCCAGCTGTGAAATAAATTAAAGTACTGATACCTAACCTTAGTTGACTGCAAAAGTCCTGCAAAGACAAATGCTCCAGCACCAATGGGAGCTCTCACAGAACAACAGCAGTCGCATAACTATACGGAATCGCCAGGAAATGGGCTCAATCGATGACTCACCTGAGGTAAAATACTAAATCGTGACCGGATTTCGTGTAGCCCGAGGCGGCACAAGTCTATTCCGTCTACCATGATGGGGCCACAGTTGGTTAGAGATGCAGGAAGATTTTCGTAATCCTCCGGTAAAATAGTTGGTTCAACCAATCGAAACAAACTAGATGCCAAGGAGGACTTGCCGGCTCCAGTGCGACCCACAATACCGATGCGGCGCCTCCCTGGATCACCGCTAAGGCTCAAATCGATCGAGCGAAGCGCGGTTATAGTATGTGGTTCATTGCATCGATTCGGCTCAGAATGAGGCAACGGGCCATCCAACGGAGGTGTGTGCTCAAGTCGGGCAACGGGCTTGTACATCACAGTGGCCTTATTGAAGAGCAGGTGGCAACATGGAGCCGGCCAATCGGCAGGTAGTGAGCCGTTGAGGTCACCGTCCCAAGGGGCTTCCTGTTCGATCTGGCAAATGAGATTTGTTATACTCCAGCCAGATATAATAGATGCGAAATGTGCATTGTGTGGAGTGGGTAGAAAAACACAAATGCGTGTGTCGGCTAGAAGATATTGTAAGAACCAGTGATAGTTGTGTCTCAACCAGGGTTGTCAAATCAAGGCTATCGTTACAACTGTTGGGTAACAAGTACATAAACTGGGACCAAAACAATGGTTGGGTTTCTAAGAAGAAACGAACCAACGGAATACACAAAGAAAAACATTTGTACAGAAAGACTGAACAAATAAAGGATATCAAAAGCAAAACAATAAACTAAGGCACCAGGTTCACATAACAACGAAAGATAGGCTGCTACGTGGAGGAGCTGGAGGGAGAATGCGAAAGAGATCAGAGATTTGATATCCCAACGTGACAAAAGTGACGGCAATCGAGTAAGATAATTACAGGAGTGGACAACGTGATGCCTCTAAAGTTACAGAAAGTTTAGCACACATTGTGTGACGATAGGGAACACAGATTTACGCCGCTCATCATCATCACCAACAACAGCAAAACATCAGCCACTTGAAATGATGTTTCACCACCGTAAAAACGACAATGACCTACGGAGCGAACAATAAGAGGCAGAGAAGGGGGCTACGGTAAAACTTAACACCACAAACATTCAGGGTCAAGAGGCCGACACCTTGTCAACAACATGCCATCACAAACAGCTGGCTATGGTGTTAAGGCGGCAGCAGCAAGACAGTTTCCTTGCAGCTTTCACTGCTCCGCGTAACAATCAGCCTTTACCCCTCAGATAACTCAATAACAAACAGACTTTAAACAGGCAGTCTGACAAGGAGATGAGAGCAGAGGCGCCAGTGCTGTCGACTGTGAGCCATGTCCTGTAACGTCTCGAGGCAAGCACAAGGCGAGTAAGGTGAACTCCAGGCTGGAAGGAGAGACGGATTAACGTTACTGAGTTTGGAAGTAATTGAGTTCATTCTCGCTGTCAAGTAATTTTCCGCCTACCTCGGGCCGTGCGCCACACTACGACTGGCAGACTAAGCAGGGTCCTCTCCGGTAAACGGGCAAAACAAGCCAATGCAACTTATTACGTGCTATCTGTTGTACTAGGGAACAAGCATAATTATCACTGCCTAGCACTCGACTACGCACAGCATTTTTGCGGACATCCTGGTGCCATCCGACATCAGAAACTCTCAGCCAAAAGCGAGGAGCAAAGACGTGAAGCCGCGTCACATCGTCAGATCAAATGGGCCAAGTTTCACTCTCAAAGTTGGTCGGTCCTCACTGTGGCCGTGAAAACAGGACCTTTCAGACAGAGGGAAATCCCGTTATGACGCCACATATAACGCAGAGTAAAGTAGGCCGTTCTGGCTTTTTTAATACGTGAACTGACTTCATTTGCTATGCCCCCGCATCGCTGCCGACGTGATTAGCACATGCGGTCCGATTGCGCTCCCTGCATATCGTCACTATAATTGATTCACTACAGTTAACTAGGATTGGCTCTTCCATCTAGAGCTGTACGAACAGGGAGGTCAGAGTTTGCAGAGGACCTCACTAACATCCTTAAATGGTGTGGTTGTAAGGGAATTCGGGCCAGCAGCACGAAAGCGAATAAAGGCTGCGATCACGTTTCGGACTTCAGACGCCGACAGAGCCTCTAAACTAACCGTTCATGCCTCGTCCTGCATCATCTGAGTAGGAAGATGCCCTGGAACAGAGGGCCAGCCGAATTGATCTTGAAAGTGTTCCCTTCAAAGAGCCATACGGTGTTCTTTATTGTGAAACAGGGCACCCGCACTTTCTATGATTGTCCCACTGACGCTTGGTTTCCTGGGATCAGTGGTGCGGATCAGTTGTAAAGGCTTACGATAACTGCCTACGGCTCCCGCATTTACGGTTTCTTGAGCCCGACTGGTTCACTAGGATTCCTTGTTAACACACAGAGTCCGTTTTAGTTCGCGCCTAATAATTCGCCTAGTTACATTGTGTTTAGAGCCAGCCGGGAGTTTTCTTCCAGATTCCAACAGCTTAACAGACTTCTCGGATATCTAGTGATAGATGCGGTGACGAGTAACAGTGCTACAAGCGGATGCTCCTGCGTGGTGCATGGCGGCCGAGATGCTATTCCATTGGACCTGAGTGTCATTAGGACAAGACAGCGAAAGTTCGGTACGCAGTGCATCCTGCTAGGCTTGTCTGATGGAGGGCTGGGATAATTTCTCAGTTGCCAGTCGGGAGAGACAGTCGGTGCGCCTTCCGAGTAAGCTCATCGCTGGTCAGCTGTAGGTAGACGCCAATTGTTAATTCGGCGCCCACTATGTCTAAAAACGGTGCTACTAAAAGGCGCCGGTGCCCCGCAAACAGCTGTAATAATAGATCTCATAGACTGGCCAAATTGCAGCTTCACCCGACGTGGTGCAACCACAGCGTATAACGCACATCGAGGAAGCCGATCAGCAGGCATCCGGAGGATATGACATAGACAACATAAGGTAGTAGGATTTAGCAAACACACGATAGAAGCACCAGAAGGTTTCTTACCATAAACGAACTGGTGAATCGCAACATAGCACCTGGTTTTCCAGCCAAACGTGAGAAATAACCGGCAGGCACCGTTGGTTAAACAGAGTTAAACGTTTAATATCTTCACTTCGAATTGGCGAGATATCTAATCCATACAGTAAAACCGGCCTTACCGCATCGTTATATATTCTACTTTCACTGAAAGACTGATACCTCATCACCTACATAGATGGTTGAGTCTTTGGAAAGCCACGCGAGCCTTACTGATTATATTACCGTAAGCTACAGACAGTCCACGTGGGTTGGTCTGGAGCTACTGACTCGACCTGACCATGTATTCGTGCGTGCACGCAAAACGTTTAGTCTACACATTCCGACTAAGTGTCCACAGCCGAGAGTGCTTACATGTCGACTGCAATTACGAACCGCGAAGTAGCAGAGTAGAGTTGAATCGTAACACCAACTGTTATGAAGGAACGAAGTGGTCGACCGGTAAGGGGAGTAGTCACTTCTGGTGCAAGATGCAAAGGTCTGAAGCCTAATTGGAGCATAGGGATTACCTTCCCCAAGATGTCAAGTTGAAAATGTGCACGATTCTCTGGAACGATTTCTAACCAGTAGGCTTTTGAGGTCATGAAAGTTTTGTTGGATGGTGTGACGGAGAAAGCTAACGTGGTTACGAACAGCAGATTTGCTTACAATTCACTCGACATATGCGTACAAGGAACGCGAGTGCAGATGAAACAATAAGTAATAACGATGGACAGTTGATACGATCTGCAGGCAAATCGACCAAAAACACTGGGTACGGCGTTTAATCATGATTATGTTTAGTATCGGAACCAATTCGGGATGCTGACGCATCAAACTGTCAAAATAGATGAGATCTGACATGGAAGCAGAACAAGGCGCCTGACGCTAGCAACAATGCAACATTGTTGCGGGGCTGCCCTTTCCAAACACTGCAACATCGAATCTCCTTATTTCGGATGTAGCCACAATGATCGAAATGATGGAAGGTAACTTAAAAGTAAACCGTGCGCATATCATGATTGCGTGTCGCAATCCGGGAACATGATGCGTACTCCAGAACCCAACAAGGAACCTCGCATTGCTGTAGAAGGAAGACGGAGTATCATTGGTGCTTAAAAGGTCTGGTTCATCCACGGTGATCGCAAGCAGTACACTTGGACCATTCTGCAGTGGTATATGACGATCTTAGTGGCAGTAGAGTCGGTGAGAAACTGGGGACAGACTTCTGCCCCGGAAAAGAGTACTTATAGAGTGCTTCTACTCTTCGCTAGGTGCATGAACGCCACCCACATTTACAAAAGTCCATGAAGTTGGTTAAGTTTGACTTTAATACTGCCATTTAGTCCGTTGAACAAACCTGTTTGTGGTGAGGTTTAAGTATGAAGAATATGCTATAAAAGTTCAGATTCAAAAATAAACCTATTATGATTCGCGGAGCACTATGAAATTTTCGGGGAAAATTACCCTCGGGTAACATATAACGGCATTATTCACATTTTCCTGTACAACTGCATGGTGGAAACAGTCACATATAACTCGCTACGGCCTCCGATCGCACTCTGGATTTAAGTTGATGCAGGTTGATCAACCGCAAAAATTGGAGTATGCGGGCGATATAGCTCTCCTTAAACCGAACGTGGATGCATGAAAGAGATGCTGAACAGACTAACGCATAATGGTGCATGCTTTGATATGAGCTTCAAAGTGCTAAGGGCTGTTAGGTGATTGTGTGAGCGACATCACAAACAGGAGACTTAGAAGATACAAGCGGATTTCATTCCAACTCTGTCAGATGGCCATCCCAGATCCAGAAAAGCATTGAATGAGCTTTTAGTTGCTTGGGGAATCGTGAACACTCTGGATTCCATCTGCTCGTTATGCGGCTACGCTTAACTGAGCAAATACATGTGAAACAGAAACTCCGAAATCAGCTGCATAAGAGTGACGTTCCCAAGTATATCGTATTCGTATTCTAACAGTTTCGGAAAGGCCGGCATAGAGAGTATCAAAACTGGGCCTTAGAGAATCATAAGTACTGCGGTTGTTAGCATACATGCAAGCGTATTCACAAGTTGAGAAAGCTATAACGACTGTCTCGACATAACAGGTGCAGGGTGTTTTGGGGTGGGCGAAGGACTGACCCACAGTGCCATTTAGGTGAAGACACGGGTTAGAAAAGACACATGGTCGGGTAGTACGATAGGAAAAAAAGCGGTTAGGCGGTTAGGTGAACAGAGAGGCAGTACATTGAAGGAATGATGTCGTGAGTCATCGAACTGTGACCTTAGTTTGCAAACTTGGTACAAATCCGGACTCACCAATGTGTACTCCCAAATGCGCTCCAACGATACAGCACTTGTTTCAAACTCTGCCAATTGTTTGACAAAAACAGAGAAGTTTTCCGCCGCATCCATAGCATAGATGACGACGAGCCCGGCAAGACCAGGTGTTAGCATAGTCCGGTTGTAGACTACGACGATAGTGACGAGAAGAAGCATGACACGGTCGATCAGCTGGGAGAGCAGAAAAACAAATGTTGGTAAATAGCTACATGAGGCAGTTTGTGGAGAAGTGATATTTATCACATGATCGATAGAAATTAAGAGCACGTCACTAAAAATGGTCCAGGGGGACGAAATAGGGAAGTAGCTAGTCTACAGAAGGGCGTTGATAATTGCACGCAAACGGCGCAAACTGTGGTGAAAAATGGCCGAGTTTAAGCACTGTAACGTTTTTAGCCAAAAACAATGCACATTTTCAGGTCTGTGAGTAGCAAGCAGTAAACAGATTTTAGCTATCATGAGGCGCAAACGTGCGGATCAGACACAGGAACACAGATTCGCTTGTCGGTAGGGACTGGTCCGCATACGCCCATGGTAGCCAATTGAATCCCGCTGCTCAGAGGGATGAGCCACACACAGATGAAGAGAAACACGACCCAAAAAACAATGGGCAAAAAGCGGTGAAACTGAACCGAATACGAAAACCAACGGAAATAAGGAATCATTGATCGAATGTGGTAACAATACACAGATAAGCTTTACTACCAAATGTAACACCGCAGTATAAAAAGAAAAGAAATACTAATTCCGCAAAGAAAAAGGCAGATCGTATCCACAAGCACAGAGTAACTGAAAAAAGGGTAGATAAAAAGACATAAATGATTGAATCCAATGAAGTATTCGTCAGAAGAATGTGGAACCACGAGGCCTGGAAAGTAAAGGCAGTATTGTGCAACGAGTATTTGTCATCCCTGATTCGGGAAACACTAATCGGATCGAAATGGACTAATAAGGGAAAACGAGAAACTATAGACCCCAACAAACGGAGTTGAAAAAAGCAGTAACCTGGTTAGGTTTCTACTGCTACTTAGAAGCTAAGTGCACGCAGGCTAGAGCACAAAGTTGTCTAAAGTTATTTGGTGCGACTGTATTGAAAGCTGGGTGGGTATAAGTGGATTACCATGTATGTAAAGGCAGCTTTGCATACGGCACAAGCGGGGGTGGGGACAGCTAAGACGACAATGCAACACCCGATTAGCGATCCCAAGGTTTGTGTGCCATTGCATTTGAGCCCACAAGTTGCGCAGCCACTGGTCGCTAAAGAGAGCTTAGAATGCACATGCGTCTGCACCACCAACTCATACTATCCATACATCGTCACTCATTGGCTGATTTGGGTTAGGTCAATTCCAGGGACACTGCGCGCATAGTGCATCATAAAAACACCGGATGCAATTCAAATGCGATAAGGACCAAGTTCTATTACCTTACGGATGCAAGTTAGATCGTTAATGATCAATTCCATTGCACTAAGGAGGCAAGAGTTCGGGAAAAGGTGTGGTGTAGCGCGTATGGAGAAACAGTTGAGGTCTTCTGAAGTAGACCACAGTCGTCGGAAGTGTTAATCTATCTACATCGCTAAATCGACCGCGAAAAGGGCGTACGACAGCTGGAGAATTTGTGGTACTTCTTTGATATAGATCAGGCACAAAGAAGGCCACTGGCACCGTCCTTCGATCACTCCACTTGGAGTGAGATACCAGTCGGTTACGTTGCCGTTGATCTCTAGCCCGCGGGCAGTGAACAGAAAAAACCAGTCAACCTGATTTAAATTGATTTCAGAAGTGTTCGACAAAGCGATCCATGTCATCCACCTGCAGGGTGGAGTATGTGGTGCTGGTGGCTTAACTCACCGGGGAATCCGCGAGTTTCACGTTGGGGGAAATTGGAGGGTACAGGTCGATGGACATATAACCGAATGGTATCTCACTACAAGTAACCCAAGGACGGTGCCAGGGCCTAGTTGAGCCTAATCATCGTCAACAAAGTGTCAAAACAACTTCGTCAATCTAGCGCTTTGTTCGAGGACGACATGAATAGATGAAAGTAGTTGATGGTCTCGACGACTGCAGCACAATTCAACAAGACCACGATAGCATATCCATGTAGACTGCCGATGTTACGCTATCGATCAATCAGTGGGTACTTATTAGCAAGTTTCGTAGGATACAGGCAGAGTAGGAGGAAGCGAATGCCTCTGTTAGAAAGCAATGCTGCAGACGCAAATAATGAAGTTGGCAAGTAGTTGAAGAAATTGACCATCGTCATCCTCAACAAAAGCAGTATATCAGCCATTTGAACTGATGCTTCGTCACCGTACAACCACAATGACCTCTAGAATAAAGAATTACATGAGGAAGAGAAGGGGCTTACCGGAAGACGTTAATGCCCTAAACAAAGGTTCAGGGTCAATGCGTCTACACCTTGTGCCAACAGTTGCAGTTAAGACAATACCAAACACACCTTAAACAGGCAGCACGACTACGAAACGGCAGCAGATGCGCCATTGCTATCGACTGCCAGCAATGTCCTGTAAGATCTCAAGTCAAGTACAAGGTTGGTCAAGTGGACTCCAGTCTGGAAATCGAGGAGGACCAACAGCACCCAGTACTGTAGTCAGTGACTTCATTTCCTGCTACCAAGTTAACTTTTGCCCACCTCGGGCCTCGCACCACCCTAGATCCGGCAGACAAAACAACGCCCTCCTCGATAAACGGTGAAGGCGCATACGCTGTAGGTGCTCAAGCCAACGTAACTACAATGCTATTTGCTGTTCTAAGGAGCTAGCCTGATTATCACTGATTAATCACAAACCTGCCTTGTAATCCGAGGGCGTGGGTTCAAGCCAGCGTAGGTATTTGGCTACCGCAGCAGTATCCTTGGCCTACGTGTGACTGTTAGTTGTTGTGCAGCAGCAAAGTGCCGGTACCGCGGACTGGCGTACTGATGATATCTTATGCACACAATAATTGCGGACACGCTGGTGTCATCCGACACCAGCAACACTTTGTGGGCAAGGACGAGCAGACTAAGTGCCGCAGGTCCTAAGATAAAAAGGGTCAAGCTTCACGCCCATAAAGCAGGACGGCCTTCCCCGTGGCCATGTAAACACGGCCTTGCAGCGATAGAGAGAAAACTTTTCGACGCCACATATGTCGCAGATTCAAAAAGACAGCTCTAGATTTTGCAATACGTAAACTTCAGTCGTTATGCGCTCATTGTCCTTGATGCAGCTGCCAAGGTGGACGGAGGGAGCAACTTTCTCGACTTCATCGCCATCAAGTGTCAAGGGATCATCCAGTGGCTGGTAGTCCTGTAGCAACATTTTGCACTTTGATGGCGCGAAGCAAATACCAAATAATGGGACCACTATAGAGAAGCTATTCAGGGTTAATTGCACTGCCCCAACATCGTTAAACAGCAAGACAATATCGTCCGCATAATCAAGATCAACTAGCATCCCACAAGGCAACACCTCAACGCCTCTTTCATGAGGCTCCGCAAGGAAGCACTTCCTGTTGCGGTTCACGACGAAGCCGAATAAAAATGGGGAAGTTGGACAACTCTGAAGAACGCCACTGGTTGTCGGAAAGGTATCCGTCACCGTAGACCCTGACGCGGCCTGTCGTGTTGGAGTACAGATCACAAATATTTCGAACAGAATGCATCGATCAAGTGAGTCGAATGTATTTTTAAAGTCTAGGAACACATCGTCGGTCTGCAGTACGTGTGGTACCGCTCTAGCACCTGCCGCAGGGTGAATATGTGATCTATACTGCCCCGTCCTAGCCGGAAGCCGGCTTGCTCTTCCCTACTCCGGAATTCCCGTTCCGCAGCGAGGGTAAAAACCGAAATTGAGGCTAACGATTGTGTCACCACCAGTGTTAGACTAATTCCCAAGCGGTTAGCAGCGTCCGTCTGACTGCCCTTCTTGTATATCGCCACTATAATCGATATACCCCAGTTATCTGAGACGGACCCTTTCTTCCAGACCTGTTCGAACAAGGGGGTCAATGCTTTGCAGAGGACTTTACTAACATCCTTAGACAGGGCGGTTGCAAGGGAATCCTGACCAGTGGCGCGAAAATGATTAACGGCTGCGGTCGCGTTGCGGACTTTGAAGGAGCCCCTAAACTAACCGACCATAAATCAGCACGGAGCCAAATGAACTACTCTCGTAAGTGCACCGCCCAATGAGCCATCCAGCGCTCGTTGTTGTGAATCAGGGCACCCAAGCTGTCGCTGATTGTTTCACTGACGCCTAGTTTTTGGGAGCAGTGATGCGGATCAATTGGAAGAGCTGATGATAATTGCCTATTGCTTCAGTAACCTCGATTTCTTGAGCCCGACTGGTATACCAGACTTCCTTGTCAGCACGCAGACTCCGCGCTTTAGTTCGCGCCTAACAGTCCGTCTGGTTACGTTGTACCCAGAACCAGCCGGAAGTGTTCTTCTGGATGCAAACAGGTTCACAGACCCCACAGATATCTAGTGACTGATGCGGTGGCGATTGACAGCGACGCGAGCGGAGACTCCCGCTGTGTCATTAGGGCGAGAGAGCGAAGTCGACCACTATTATCATGATGAAGTGAATCGACACCGAAGCGATCTTCAGTAACCCCTTAGATATACACGCCAGGAAAAAGAGAAAACATGAGGGAAACCAATGGGATCATTGCTGATACTCGCGGGAACCTGCAGTGGGGGACACCAAGACTAAAATAGTATTTTCTATCAGAAGACTAGTTCACAAGGGTTCTGAAGGTGAAAACACATAGGTCCGCGAGGATAAAGGTTAATCACGTTGCAGGAAATTGAAATTGCTCTCTCAACATGCACAACGGCACCTGTGTAAACGAGGGGTCATATCGGCACGGACTAGACGACCAACGCTCAGTAGACTGTTGATAAGCTGGGAGACGCGTATGTAACCGGGTGATGTCTGGCTGAGTCAGATATGCACTTCTCATTATCTAGTCCGGCTAAACCGCAATTACTGAACGTTGTCTCATCCGAGTTGCAGGTGGTGAGTTAACGCCGCATCGAGCCGGATCAGATCCGTGTTTGACGAGTGTCATCCCGCGTGAACACGTGAGGAAGAGATAACTTGTTGGAGCAAGTGCACAAGGTGGCATCCGTCAATGAACGACAGGGAAGGCCGTGACGACCAT